CAGGCCAGGTGCTGCATAGACCTCTTCGTGGAAGAGAAAAAAAATTCCATTATCACTTATGAAAGAAACAAGTCAGGAGGGAGGTTCTTTACTTGTTATTTTGCATGGAAGATATTTTTATCCAAATGTATCTGCTTACGCTGACCGATATGGCACCATGGGTATGGGGGCAGTTTCCCATGTATGCACATTAAATACACACCTTCTGAAGCTAAGTTTTTCAAAACAGATGAACTTGTCAGACCAATGTTCCCAATGCCTGTTTCCAACAGATGCAGAACTACTGCACCAGGTAACATTAAGAATTGTCATGAAGTTTCATAAAGGACCAAGGTGTAATCACTGCTGTTGTGGATGAATTACCACTACTGCCACAGAATCCAGCATCCATCCATCCATCCTACAGCACTACAGCCTCAGACATGTCGAATCACATCCCTGTCAGAAAGAAGGCGCAAAGAACAGAGGAAAAAGAAACACTGACTTCTGTCACACTCAGTTTGGAATCAGATCCAAACCCTTGACTTGTCTTCGCTGCTACCTCACGCTGCAGCTATCTCCCTTAGCAAGGCACGCCCCAGCCAGGCCCACCACCCCTCGTGGAAGAGCAGAAAGTGCACTGGCCTACGTAGCAGGCCACAAAATGGGCTCAGGTAGCTCCATTCTCCCACTTTCACAGACGTGCAGTGATATCCCACTGCAGACTTGGCCACGGATGTGAATCGCAGCACAAGGGAGACAGGTCAGCCCACAAGAGTCACTCCTACAGATTATGTGAGATGCCACTGAACTGAAGTTATAAACACCTGCATGTTGCCACTGCTGCTTCTGCAGACAGAGCAGCAATTCAGCCATCACACCGATGCTGTTTGGAACAAGTAATCTGAGGCTGTGATAGAAGGATACAGTCGCTCGCTGGATCACATTATAAGGTAGAGCACAACAGTGAAACTCAAGGGGATTTACAGTGAGTAAATCAAATAGTCCTATTTACCAATGTAAATATTCAAAAGAAAAAAAAATGCCCAAATTACTACATCATATAGCCTCTGCATATATTGACACCTACAACAGGTGACTGCTTATAACTTGGGCACAAAATATCAGTGCAAATTAACAAAGATAAGTGGTCAAATCCTATGAGTATTCTTGCAAGAAAGGAATAATTTCTAGATAGAACTTAAATTTCTAGATTGTAAACAGTCAAAACAGACTTCCAACACATTCTCTATTTAAAGAAAAAAAAAAAAGTACGGACTTACTTGTTACCTGTACATGTTACTGTTACAAGGAGCTCAAAAAAATAAGATAATGTTTACAAAGGACTTTCAAACGCTCGTCACATGTACCCCTTCTCTCCACAGAAGAGAAACACATAGTAACCTAGGCAGTAACTCCTACTATCTTCCTCTCATTGCAGAAAGTGACAAGGCAAGTAAAGCAACCTAGCCAGAAGAATTTGCAACCAACCTGGGGTCATCAGCTTTCTCCTTCAGAGGTTTGTTGGTTGGGTTTTAAAGATACACAGTTTCAATGAAAACTATCTGTGAGAAGTTATGACTTTATATGCTTCTCCTTGAATCTTCACAGAGAAATATTACCTTCTTATTAGCCTCACCATGTCTGATCCAGCAAGTCACATCCTCTGGACTGAAGTATTGACATACACTTCCCTAAGTATAAGTAATCTGACATTCTCAGTCTTCTTTTTCTGAAGCTACTTCACACATTTAGGACCTCTACTACAGTGTGTCGCACAAATGCCCAAAACTTTTTATAAACATCACTTGGGTCCCTAAAATTGTTTCCTTTTGAAACATTTTCTCACAAATCAGTTATTTGTCCACAATCATAGCATGTTTTGTTTGCTGTACACAGAAAAATGGAAAGATCAAAATCACCACCAAAAAAAACCTGTCCCCAAATTCCAGCTCAGGGCACTGGAGGTCACAGAGTTTTGACTCAGCTCTTCTTCAAGGCCTCAAGTCTCCTTCCCCCCACCCTGAGCAGAACAGACATCCTTATTTAAAAGGGAAGGTTAAACTGCACCCTTAAGGGAGATGCTCGATGCTGCACATAACTTACTCACCTTCACATGTCAGGAAAGATCCAAGTGATGCTATCTGTTTTGGGGGTGGGAAGCTGTGGATGCCTGACAAGCATTATCATCTACCTGACATGTAAGACGGTACGTAGAAGAAACACAACAGATAGCTAGACAGCTGACTGCTAAGGTTTTTGTGTTGTTTTTTTTTACAGCAGCTATCCCAGAAACGCCACATGAAAACATGTCCTCAAAGACAAAAGAAATTTTGACATTAACTTCAGTCAAGCTAGAAAATTTACTTCTAAACCACTAACCACTTTGTCTTTCTTACGTATCAGCCTTCTAACAACACACAGATCTACCAAACCCCAAAGACACTGCAGCACTATGGCTACTTAGCACTGTCTTTCCTTTACCTATGAAGTACACAGCAGACAACTTTGATGGATTGTTTTAGTCAAAGAAAATAATTTATGCCGTATTCTTACTGAAATCACTTTAAAGTTGGCATACACAAATAACCAGAAACAACAGGGGATGAGGAGCTCAGAACATTAACAAAGGAAAACTTACTAATGTTTTGTAAGGTAAAAATAATTTATTTGTTCATTTTGCCTACACGTATCTTCAGTGTAGGTCTAATCTCATTACTCAGCTCCCCAAAAATACCTCTAAAGAGTACATCTATACAGAAATTTAAAGTAGAGTATTTTTTCATTTAAAAATGGTGTTATCTGAGGCAGATACTTACCACAATACAATATTTAAGATACATTGCCTCAGATTCTCTAGTGATCTGTTTGCTCTATTTAGAATGGGAAATATGAAATGTTATCTTTTGGCAATAGATACAAAATGTGCAACTTGAGATCCCTGGATACAGACTCACAGTAACAGAAAACAAAACAAAGCATAAAAAAATAACCAAGTTGCCCCAGGACTTTGTTAATAAAACTTAATCTTTAAGTTTTCCAGGCTAGTGGAAGAAAGGTCAGAAAGTATCACAGGGCTTTTCTGTTAGGACATAGGCTACAGGGAAAAGAAGAGCATGGCAAAGTGATTGCAGTTAGATAAAATAACCATTTAGCATTGTTTCTTGTGACTTTCCTTACCTACATTTCTCAAACACTGCACGGTGACAGCAAATCCTTTTGTTCGTGGCAGCAGGTGATACTTGAGCTTGGGCAGTCCTTTGGCTTCAGCTACCCGCATGCTAATCTGGTGCTTCTGTTCTGTGAACCTTGTGCCCTCGCAATGAATCAGGAACTAAAATGAAAAAGAGAACTACAGTTAAGACAGCAGTTCAGGTGATCTACATCTGACTGACCTGAGGTCTCTCTAATTCCACCAACACAGCCCAAGTATACACTGCCAGCAGGGACAGGTGTAGCCACATACACATTTAGGTAATTTAACTGCCCTAGAGTAACAAACAAACAAACAAACAACCATCACAGGAAAAAGAAAAAAAAAAAAGCCAAACCCAAACCCTTTCAATTGCCCCCATGCATACAACTTCCCCTCACTTCAACCTGCTTGCTTTCACTATGGCATGAGCCATGACCACTGACAGAAGACAGTAACTTTGGTGCCAATGCTTGAGCTGATAACAGAAGTACGACAGCAGATGCAGGACAACTGAAAGCCTCAATCCCTTACGAACTATGCCTTGGAAATGCTCAGACATGAATGAACAGAGTTTTGCCACTGGCAGGCAGGGGAGAGTAGACAGGTCTTTGGAGATTTAACACTTGCTCATCTGCTTTCTGTCAAGCACTGCCAAAGCACACAAGCTAAGCCTTCACAACCCACAGCAAAGGTTTAGCCAACACAGAGACTGAAGAAAACTAGCCAAGCAGCCAGCTTCAGTTCCAGCTCATCTAAGAGCACTTTTACTAACATATCACATGCCTACTGTTACCCAGTTAGATGAAAGATACAGAAACTGATGCGAAAAACCTTCTAGCCCACTTAGCATGTTGTCTTTCTACCTTCCAAGGTGCTACCGCTGTGCCTTTTGACATCAAGCCACCTTACAAAGGCAAATTAAAACTCCTCACTGTAATAATCACAGGTGTACATAAACAACTGTGTCTCTCCTACTACAGGTATAGCTCCTTCTTAGTAATCCCTGTACAGCAGTATGTAAAGGGCGGTTGCGGTTTGTACTCACCAACTGGCATTGAACTCTCTAGGTGTACAGAATTCAACACCTTTTAAGAGTCACAGAGCACAGCTCAATCCCTATGAGAAAGACTGGAACAAGAAACCAAGGCTTGTCCCTTTGCTAGTCAGCCTCCTGCCTGGAATTCATTTAGCTGTTTTCCAAGCACAGAGCCTAGTTTCCATTGTTTTGCACTCATTTAAATAAAAACAGTTTTTGTTTAGAGAATGAGAGATATACTATCTATATCTTCACTAGGAAACTGCTGCTTATGCAGTAGTTTCTGTAGGCCCTTGTGAGGCTGCTTAAGGTACCACTTCTTTAGCTAAATCCCTCTCACCATCACCAGCTCATGAGAACAAGAATTCTTCTGATTACTGAGAAAAGAAAAAATTTAAAGGCTTTTCATTCTCAGACTAAGAAATGCCAGGCAGGCTCAATACTAAAAAAAGACTGTGATGCAAAAAGTAACACTTTCTTCTTACTGCAAGGTGACACTGATCCTCTCCTTTTAACACAGCCAATGGCCCTAGGGCCACTTCTCTGACCAGGTACTTATCTGTGGCTTCCACTTCTACAGAGCCATGTCTGACCTAGCACCTTCACAGAAATGGCAGAAACACAGGGAAATGGAAGGAGAAAACACTACTATGAATTCTGCAATCTGCAGTGAGAGGGGAGCTTAGGTAAAGAATACAGCTAATGTGTTTCAATATAAGATTGTCACATGCATCTGTTACACTGTCACAAGCCCCTACATCTATTCCTCTGCAGCTTCTGCATTTAGAGGACCACAAAGTCTATTGAATGGGCCACAGTGAAATTACTTTTGCAACGACATCTATAGGGCTCCATACTACAGCAGAAGAAAGCAGATGAGATGGACTGTTACATGGGAAATTCAAGAATTAAAGTAATTCTTGGAGAATATTCTCCTGATGTTGCCAGGAAGCTAGTGAATCAAATTATTGGAGTAACCTGGTGACTATTACACATTCATCCCTCCCAAGCACTACAGCACCTTGCTCTCCACTTGTTAGTCGTCACTCACCCAAAAGTTTTCAGGGTAGTCCCGGAGATTCAGCAACTTCTGCATGACTGTTTTCCGATCTTCCTCCCACTTACGCTTGCAGAAGACTATCTCTAAGAAATACCACATCCAGCCAATGATAGGCATGTAGGAGAGCTCCTTCTTTGCAAGCACTTTGGAACTCTGAAAGACAGAGTCAAGGCAAGTGAAAAAGAGTTGCATCACTTAAGAGTTCTCTGTGAGGATGACACACGCACAGTTAGACATTAATATATTGATTCATATTGACCAGTCTCGGTTCAGATACCAAGTGTAAAAGCAAAACAATGAAAAAAAGTTCTTCTCGTACAACAGAATAGTCAAATATAATCTCAGGTATCTGCATGAAAGACTTGAGAATTAAATATATACATGTGCATATGTTTGTCTATCCTACCCAAATCCTGAAACCCCAAACACAAGCGGAATTCCTTCAAACACCAAAGAATCTATGCAAAAGACCTAAACTACATCAAACAAAATTCTTAAGTCAAGCAGATCCTGGGCAGTGGCAACTCGAGTTCCTTTAAGATATCTTGCAGCTATTCTTGTCCCCAAAGCTGGGATATCTCACAATGGCAAAGAAAAAAAAAAGTTATTTTGAACAAGAAGCAGAGTCACAGAGTCATTGCTGCACAACATTGATAATATACATGTGGTTTACCAGTGGAAGAAACCTTAAACAGCACTAGGAAAAAAAATCAAACCAGCAATAAAAATACTTTGCTTGTGTTCAGGTTTATTTATGGAAGGGAAGAAAAACTTACACACTAATGAATTTCTCTTCAAATCATGTTTCTGGAATATATATTAAAAAATATATCAAAAAAGTACTGTTCCTGTCTCACGGGTGTGACAGATACTTAAGTGTTTTGTCCAGACCCTCCAGAAAAACTCTATGGTTTATCAAGCATTCAACAAGTTTCAAACCTCAAATCCTACTCCAGAACTTCACTCTGTGATCTCAGACTGACACACCTTTAGACAGGAGAACTGATTCCCCTTGCTCCTTTCCTGTCTTCCAAGCCAGCCTGCCTTGGTGACCTGTCTTATGTTTCACTCTGTTAGTTAATGAATAAAATGGCATACATGTATATATGCATACAGAAACGGTTGCTTCAGCATTTCCTGAAAAACAGTGATATGTTCTTAGAGGATAGATGAAGCAATTACAGTCCAACTTTTATCAGTCATATTATAATCCCGTCAAAGTGCTCTGCAGATGGGTCCCAGGACATTGCATTTGAATAGCAGGAATTATTTACCGGTAGGAATTTCTATCAACAGAAATTATTTATTTTTTTGGTCACTGTTGTTCATTTAGAGACTTGACCTAATTCTTTACCTCAGCTCATTTCTCTCATCTGCTCTCCTTCCTTGAGAAGGAAAACACCTTAAATAATTAAGTTATCTAAAAGCTCGGAAGACTGGAGGACAAGTGCACGTTCCATAGCTTCACTAGCAACTGTGACACAGAAGCAGGGCAGAAGACAACATGAGACAATTCTAAGAATTCCATTTCTAATTTCTTTGAATCTCTGTCAAATAATTTAATGCTTTGTAAGAAACCAATCCCTCTTGATCATTTGAGAATTTCACTGCCAGGCCCAGATCAGGACTCCAACCCCAGCTCTCCCAGAAGGCACAGCCGTAGGATTCAGCACGCTTTCTGCCATTTCGATTTCCAGCTGCATTGGATGCCAGTCCGTGCTGCGCAGCAGCAGCAGCGATAAGCCCAGTCTCCTCTTCCAGCTCCTCAAAGTGGCCAGCAAGGTACAGGTTCTCCTCCCGTCACTTCCCTTAGCTCTCTCTATTTTCCTCCCACACTACCCTTGTTCCTTTTCTCAGTTACTCTTAATAAAAGTAACTTTCCTATTTCCAAAAGAAACATAAATAGTTCTAGCATGTAGCTTTAAGAGCCTCCAAAGGGCATTTCCTTTGTTGTAAGCCACACAGAGCACAGCTTACACTGGAAGCACACAGACCGGTTCCTATGCTCTTCCATTCTCCCAGCCTGTACATGCCTGAGAAAGACAGCTGAGCCAAGGCTTTGCCTCAGGAAGCTCCCCCGCCACAGATGGAAAATGTATCAAGCTGTGCAGGGAGGGCTAGAACCTAAGGGAACTGCTGCCCACACCTCAGCCACAACCAGGGCAGCCACCCCGGCAAACAGCAACAGTGTCACCCTTCCAAAAAAACTCCAAACAAAAAACAACAACAAAAAAACCTAAAACCCCGAACAAAAAAAAAAACCACAAAAAAACAAAACTCAAAAGAAAACAAAAACAAAAAAAAAAACACAAAACAAGAAAAACCAAAACCAAAAACCAGAACCAAAAACATGCTCTTACAGTTTATTTACATTATGTGTTCTGTATGGTAAGACCTACCATAAACAAATGTAAGTGTGCTCGGCACAGAACGTACAAGGCCTCCAGAGCACACAGACGATGATCTAATAGTCCTTCCTCCCAGGCTTTAAAAGACAGGAATCCTAATCCAAAAAGCAAGCTAAAGTAACTACCACCTCATAGCAATCTTTTAACATTTACATATTTTAAAAGGAGTACAAGTTAAACACGGTACAGGAGAGAAGTTACTGCCATTATTACTTTTTCTCAGTGAAAAAAAATAAAAGATGCTGTGAGCTAAGGTGTCATGTAGTACAGATACAACCACAAAAGCAGACCAGATGTTTGAATTCTTTCTCAGGATATGTTCTTACTAATTTTCTGGGCCAACACATTTTAAAATTTAAAAGCATTCTATTAGACACATGAGAGTACAACTCCTTAGATGCACATAAAAAGAAACTAAATCACCTTATGCTATTTTGTGCACCCCATCTATCCTCGGAGTAGAAAGAAGGCCAATGACACAGAACTCATTAGAGAAAGGGAACTCCTCAGTGCCTTAGCCTGGCAAGACCGCTCTTGTACAGAAGGAATACATTCAGCCTCCCCTCTGAAGTTACCATCTCTCTTGCAATAACTAGAGCTACAATTTATTCCGTTTCAGTCGTCTATTCGTGCACAGCTCCTGTGTAAACATCTGAGGGGAAAATTGCGTCTCTAGTTGACTTCAGGCATTAACTTTTCCTTTATCAAAGTGCTTTGGTAAATATGTCACAGTCACCTCTAACCTTCACATTCAGCTTGATCAGCAGAATAAATTTCATTAAAAAGTAGTGATTTATTCCATGTAAGCTGCCCTCCTGAAGAAAGTCAAACATTTTCATTGCTCAGAACTGTGCAGTCCCAGGAGATGTTAATGAAATTACCAGTGGATGGGAACAATTTGTCTACAGTAATAGCATTTTGATCCAGGTTAATTTCTTTTGGCCGAGTTTGTTCTGACAGAAATACCCATGAAGTTCTCCTTTTGTGAATGACTGCACTAACACCACACATGCAAAATGTATTTTTACAAGCTTAATTTAGATATATTTGCACAGCTATGCTATCACAGAAAGAGAATCTTGATGTGTATGTCCAGTCCCTGTTATTTAACACCTCTTGATCACAGACTGCAACAAACAGCATGACATCAATCTGCAAACTGAGGGCACAGAACAAAATTTGTTCCAGTTTCAAAGAAAAATTCATTGTAGCTGCAAACCATTAGCAGCAGCACTTTGGCGAATAAGTTATTTGCTCTCCAGGCTGCCCTCAGCATTGACATACATTCGATGAGAGTCTGTTTGCTCTGTTTTTGAAATATTGCACTCCTTCATATCATACCCTCTCAACATCAAGATGAAAAAAGTATGTTTCTTTGCACTGTCAATGCAGTGCCTCCTAGAATTTATAATGGAGGGTCCAAAAGTATCATATTAAAGAAAAAAATTGTAAAGTAAAATAAATGTTAAAATTGACCTTTTTTTTCCCCTCATTCACACACACACACTTCTCAAATTCTCAGCACCTTCTCTTGGTTCTTTTTGCTACCTTTTCCTCCACAACCACTTAAAAACCTTCATGAAAGCAGAGAACCTCATGCCATCCAAGTATAAGAACTGAGTCATTAGAAGAGGACTCAGCATCACAAATCTAAAAACAACATGCAAGAGATTACATCGCTCTCACTCCACCCCTTGCAAAGAGCAAAAACCTTAAAAATACACTGATAAAAACAAAGCCGTATTGATAGACCACTATAAACCTGTGGGGACTATGACAGGCTGCGGGAGCTGGGATTGTTCAGTCTGGAAAAGAGAAGACTTCGGGGGGACCTAATAGCTGCCTTCCAGTACCTGAAGGGAACCTACAGGAAGGCTGGGGAGGGACTTTTTACAAGCGTGTCCACTGCTAGGACAAGGGGAAATGGGTTTAAGTTGAAGGAGAATAGATTTAGATTGGACCTTAGGAAGAAATTCTTCAGTACGAGGGCAGCAAGACTTTGGAATAAATTGCCCAGAGATGTTGTGGCTGCCCCCTCCCTGGAGGTGTTCAAGGCCAAGTTGGACGGAGCCTTGAGTAGCCTGATCTAGTTGAGAGGCGTCCCTGCCCATGACAGGGAGGTTGGATTAGATGATCTCTAAGGTCCCTTCCAGCCTAGGTCATTCCATGATTCCACGACAATTTTGCTACAAGGAGAAAGGAGAAAGCCACTATAGGACAAGAGACACAAAAGAAGGAGCAGAACAATGCACGGATTGAAAGTCACAACTAAGGCCAGGAGGTTTTCAGATCATGACTAAAACCAAAGAGGAGAAGATTATTGTTTTTCTTTTGAGGCCAGACAGAGCAAGACAGGTTTAAGGAAGTGTTTTTGTTGTTTTGTTTCGTTGGTTTTTTACATGAGCAAACCCAAGCGAAACATTACACCGTTTAACAGCTTCATTTAATAAAAATTCAAGCTGTTAAACACTGAGTGTTTGGACACACTCTTGTGGCACAGTTAAGGAGTGCTGCCACTGTCTGCCAGGGCTGCTGGGTACAGCTGGGTGTCACAACAAAGCTGTCCTGCCTGTCTGCTGCAGCCAAGCACCATCAGTCCCAACTCCTTTGGCACAAAGTTGCTTTTGGCTTCTCCCTTTTCCCCCTGCCCAGCCATGTCTCCTTTCTGTGCTGGATTAGTTAAGGCAGGAGAGAGAGAAGGTGCATCTGAAACATTCCAAGCAGGGCAGACAAACACCAGAACAGATGCAGGAGATAGGATGGCATGTGCAAGATTTCCTTTTCAGCAGCAGTGCACATGAGATCAGCTTAGTAAGATGTTGATAGATATCTGAAGTTTCCATAGACTTCTCACGGCGTATAAAATCAAATGGCATTAAATCTAAAACCCTACCAGCTCACCAAGTGCCCTGAGACACAAAATGCTGGAGGCTAGGATGCCACTTAGAAATCTCTCTGGATGCTCTTCTTTTTCTTGTAACTCCTTTTCCCTCAAGAAAACATTTTTTTACATTCCTAATTATGCTGCCCCACCAAACCCCAAAGCTTTGCATGCTGCAAACTCATGTAAGACAGCACGAAGTCAAGGCAAGCTACAAACCCCATCCCTACACATTCATCCACTCCTGTGCTGCCTCGAGCCCCGTGCTAGTATGCCAATAGAGTCAATTCGATCAGAAAACTGTGTGTCATTCTCTTCTTTTTTTAACCTGCCTTAGGATGAACCTCAACTGGTTGCCCCATCAGGGAAATTCACTGCTTTTCTGTGTAAAGACATCTACCGAAATGAGAGCACATGGAAACTACTTCTTCCTGGAACAGTTTCTGAGAAGTAAAACTTCAGCATATTACTCAAGACTGAAACAGTTTTAAAAAAAAGGAAGGGGGGGAAATAAAAGCATACCATCAGTTCCTAAAAGAATCCTAATATTAGCAAAAATACAAACTGTGTAGTAACTATAAGCATCAAAAAAACCTGAAAAATTATTTTCAGTGAGTGCAGAACAGTAACTGCTCAACAGTTACACTTCTAGGTAGTGGTTTTTTTATGTGTAAGGAACAATATAAAAAAATTCAAACATAATCCTAATTATATTACCTTGGCGAACTATAACATAAATAACTATTAAAACTAACGAGAATCAATCCAGGTCTCCTTACATCTCCTGCTGTCTGATGCTACCCTCCAGCTCTGTGCTCCAGTCCTAGACATGATGGTAGAACTGTTCCTCAGTAATCAAGAGTCAACAGCCATGTTGGTAATATGCGGGCCCCATAAAGCATAGGTTCATTTTCCCCCAGTTTTAAGGCCTCTTTCTATTTTTTTTAAGCAGACTGTCATTATTACAATTTGAAAGTGACTAGAGTGGTGCCTAAATGTCCAGAAAATGCAAGAGTCCAATGGAAAGGCAACAAAAAGTCAAAGGTTCACACAATCCAAGGTCAGGACTTTTGACAATGGCCAGTGGCAATGTTAGAAGAGGATGTTGCAGAAGGCCACCAAAATGAGGAATTAGTTTGCATTCTTAGGAGGCACAAACTCTTACCTAAATTCCTTGTAGACAGAGAATGTTGTCACCACCACAAAATGAAGTTAGACTCGCTTAGAAGCAGGGCTTGAATCACCCCCATGAATTGAGAAGTGAAAAGAAAAAACTGAAAACAAATGCACATGTACTCTTAAGACTAATGCAATAGTATTCAACCACAGATAATACCTTTTACTAGCTATAACCCAGTTACTCTTTTCACTTGAGATGACAGCTCTTTCATTTTGAGACACATAGACATCATCCAAACTCTAGCTGTGGATTTGTAAGACTCATTGATGAAAGCAAGCAAATTCTATAATTTACTGGGAGAGAATCAAAGAACAGCTCATCTTTCTGCAGCACAATGAAGCGTAATAGTTACCTGGCAAGCACACAGAGAGAAACAACTGTAACGACCTCCACAGGTTACAAAAATATCTCCTTCGTCAGCTTTAACTGCAATGCTTTTAAAATTTCTGTGAATGTCCAAGCAATCCTGTGTCAGTACCCCACATACTGCACTGCTTTAGGTGCTGGACAGTAGCTGAGTGAAATCTGAGCAGAGATCTGCTAACTTTCAAAAACATCAAGATTTTTTTATTTTTTTTTTTCCACATCGAAGAAGAGGAAGCTTATCATAAATGCTACACAAAACTCACCCCCAAGACTCCAAATCTTTCACAGAAGTTCCAACCACAGAGAAAGTCGATTTCAAAGTTGTGATTAAGGATTACGATGGCATTCTCCTTCCCATACTTGTGGTAACTCTCTGGGTCAGTGTAGAGGGTGCAATCGGTGCCTGACCACCATTCCAGCAACATCACCATCTCTGGAATAAAGAACAAGAAATATATGAACGTACACAGTACACACAAAGCCACAAATCAGTAATAAGTTGAAAAGCACCAGTCATTTCAACAGTGCATGGCAAAAATACGGGTTGTCATGAAGCTGAAATGCTGAACACAAACCTCACAGACACACACCTTGGTACAGCCACGGGGGGACAGAGGAGAGAAGGGAAATAAGGAGACTACATGGAAGGAGGAAGCAGAAATTTTCCACAGTGATACTAAGAAAAAGTAGTTTCATTTATTTTAAAACTGCAATTTCAATGCTATGATTATTTTATCAAAATACATGTAAAATTAACATTTATGATTTACAATAGTGCAACAACATTCTATTAAGAACAGAATAAGCTTGCAGGAGAAACAAACACCCTTATTCCTGCCATGCACAGGTTCTCATGCTCCCCCAAAAACCATAAAATTATAGAGCAGAAAGCAGTTTGGGCAAGACGTCTGAAACCAGGTCTGTTACCCACACACCTTACGCATCACCCTGTTAACTTTTCAGAAGTAACAGTCATATGCTCTGCTACAACAGGTGTATTCTACATTTGACAGGGGGGTCTCAATCATCCAGCATAAAGCCAACAGCTCCAACTGAAGAACACGCATTTCCAGGCCAAAGACAAAGTGAGTGGTTGGCAAAGTGTGCGGAGACAGGAATAATTATCAATAGCGTATCTATGTGCATATTCCTTAGTTGATGAGCTGATGAAGCAAATGAGGCGTGGAGTAATGGTGGGGAAGCAGAGAAATCACTGTAAAATGCTTCAAAACTACTCTGGATTGGCACCCAGATTTGTTCCCAAAACCCTATAGTAAGAAATGATACAACGATTGGTAGGACAGCAAGGGCTTTTTTATAATATGGCTCTACTTAGAAGTTGGAGAGTGGTTTCTCAGCAGTCTCCTAGTGACCATCATATAGCTTTCACCTTCCTATTTGCTTATGCCATTATCAAGCAAAAGCAAGAAGGAGGCTTTGTATTTCTTTTGCTTGACTGTAAGACATGTGAATCTAACCTTTATTTAGCAAAGTCTGGTCTGGGGCACGGGAATTTGAGGTGAGTCAGTAAAGCCAACAAGGTTGGAGAGCTCTAGCTCCATGGAGAAGGAAAAAGAAATTCTAAAATCAGTGACTCTCATCAAGTGAACCATGTAATGAGCTGGGGAAGGGCATGGGACTAAATGAGAGCTGTCTGTCAAGACAGAAAATGAGTTAAGGGACACATTTCCTTCCTGTCAAAGCTATCACAAAACTTATGCACCAAATCAGAGGTCTAATGTGAGGGGTTATTCTTTGCTAAGTGAAAAGCATCTCCTTCTCAGAGCACACCTGTGCTATATGAATGTCTCTGCTGGAAGGATGAGACATCTGAGATGCTCTCCTGGCTTCAGACAAGCCTGAAAGCAGCACAAATCCTCATTGACCTCAGGGAAGATCACAAACAGGCCAGTCTTTGAAACACTTCCGAAATCCTTCCAATGTAGGTTCCCTACTGGCCTCAACTAGTGACCGAAAACAGAAAACAGTTAGGAACAAGTAATCTACATTTTCAGTCACCATTAGCAAAATCAACTGGCTGAAGCTTTTGGATGACATTCTGCTTTATGCTGGAGAACACACCTTAGTGACAGGAATGAATTTCATCTAACAGCTTCACAGCCAGGCTAATAGACAATCTCTATTCAATGAACACTAACTTAATATAACCATGTTTATGGTACAGATAAATGACTTGTCAGTCTCCCTGCTTCTTTCTAATCAGGGTAGGTTTACTACATGGCAGGAGCACAGATTACTCAATGCACACTGTTATGCATCAAAACAATAGTCAAGAGACATAGAGGGAGACCTAATTTGCCATATGTTAACCGAACAATGATGTCACTGGTTGGAAACCAACTTCCCAACAAAAGCCAAAGATGTTCACATCTCAGTGAGCACACTGGAGTGTATCCATAGCTGAGCTTCCAAACTTCCACTGCTAAGAGCAGCCCTACGACACACATTCACAATTTCACATCTTTCTAAGGGTGTAGCTTTCTGTTAAATATGCATTGGAAATAAAAGCACTCCACTCTCCAAAACACAGCAAAATTGAATAATAATTGGCCAAAAGTAACCCACACTGTAATGTGCAAACCTTTACAGAATCTACCATCACCTCCTGGTGCAGAAGACAATCACAGAAAAGAAAGGAAGCTAGTAACAGGATTAGTTTGACTTTTGCTTGACTAGGAACCCAACTAAGAGAAGAAATGACTGTCAGATGGGATTTTCTCCTTTTTAACCTCTATTGCCAGCAAACCTATTGCCTAAAACAAGTAGACCTGATGACTGTGAGGCCCTCTTGAAGAAAAAGTCAACTTGACCTCAGAAAAAACATAACTTCAAAGCCAGTCCACTTCAAGTGTGTTCCTTAGTTTTGACTTTTCCTAAGGAATTGAAACAAAACTAATACTACACCATGAATCCCACTATACAGGTGTGCCATATGCACAGAGCTTTTCAGTTACATGTTCTCAGTCTCAGATACATTCCAAAAAAAAGCATTATTTTTATTCTTCAGGCTTCACATAAGCAGGATGTTTGTTTGACTAAATACTGTAGAAATTAGTCCCTGATCTATGACTCTATTCTATGAAGTCCCTGTTCCTTACTACACATGCCCATATATCACCAATGGGCTCAGGCAGTCACTGCAGAAGCACAAAGCAGGCACTGAACACCTCTGTTTTAAATACAATAAATACCATCTGCCAATCTTTAAGCTCTTAATATGTTTCTTCCCCTCATCTTCCCTACTCTTTCTTTGCCCTTCTTCCCAGCCTCTTTCCTCTTTGTGGTTCTCAAGCAATGATTAATAGGTTCAGTTTGCAGTACTCTTGCATCATATTGCTTTCACAACTTGCCAAAGAAATTTATTATCCAGCAACTTGCTGTGGTGGCTCAGCAGCACAAAGTCACCATACACACTCTCTTCATAGCGCAGACGATCCTCGTCTTTGTACACCAGCCAAAGTGTATAACTCAAAATCAATTTATATAGGGGGCAAAAGACTCTTGCTCCCAAGTAGAGCTGGTCCAAGATTTTTAAGGCTTCTCCCCACTCCCTTTCATGAGGTTTTGGAGTTCAAACATCATGGCTGAGCTGGCAAACTTACATTCATGAACGTCTTAGGAGTTCCTACCTTGCAAAGAAAGTCCTCCAGTGACCCTTCCACACAATTAATGCAAAGGAAGGAGGAAAAGCAAAAGAACTTGAAACCTCTCATCCCTGCTTTGAAGGCAGAGTCCCTGCAGTGTGTTACAACTAGCCTCTTCCTGATGGCAGGGAGAAAGCACACCTTCAAGTGCCTAATACGGATAGTCTATCTGCTTAAGGGTTTTCAGGAATTAAAAGAGTTAAGAGTTAAAGAGTTATAAGTTAAAGAGTATTCTGGAATTAAAAAAATCCCTCAGTATGCTACACAGAACAGCCCCTACCTCCTGCAAGAGTAGACTGCTTCCTGGCCCTTCACTGCACAAATCTGAACTCCCTCGATGTCTGCACTTACAGAACAAATAATTAAAGAGAACACATCTCCAACGCTGACCTGAACTATAACTAGTTATATGAAAAACATTTAAGGGAAAAAGGGAAACACACACAATGATTAAGCAGACTTATTATTTTCCATCACGAAGTTTTGAAAGAACGGGTCATTAAAACAGTTAACACTATTCTTCTGTGGAGGTTGTTAGTAATTCCTTTAGCTAACTATTCTTGATAAGCCATGGAAACATTTGCTTACAAGACTAACTATAAAATGCCTATTTTAATATGCAACTAAAACATTGTTATGCATTGACTCAGTAATTTGAAGTACAGTACAGTGACCTGATTTAAAGAGCAACAGAACTGTTTCCCTCTACAACATACTAATTCTGTCTTTAACCTATGTATAAAGGCAACAGCAAGAAATTGAACTTAGACCATTCTTACAGGAATACATAGTAAAAACATAGCAAACTCTCCAATACAAATAAAAAGCAAGAGAAGTGGGCAAGCTGTGACCGTCACTTCAAAAACTAGACAGGGTGAATGGCTGCGTGATGAGTGAGTATGCTCCATAGAAGACTGGGGAAAGTATTGAAAAAAAAAATGTAAAAGGAAGGCTAAAGACAGACTGATATGTCTGTCTGTGGAAGAATGACTTAGAATAATAATGTACTACCCTTCCAGATTTTCAGAGTGCACTTACTAGATGCCTCTCCTAAACAATTTCCATAGAATGAACTAAGGTAACAAAGAAAAGCAAGTTTATTATCTTCTGTGGACTACTCTAAAGCCTTCTGTACACCACAGACAGGATTAAACTCCTGAATGATATCTACTATATTAACTGCAAAGCTGCCTAGGAGGTTTTTGAAACACAAGTATTGATGAGCCCAGTCTCATTACACAGGCTATTCTAGTACTTCACTATGCCATCTAACCTGATCAGTCATTTAATTCTGGTCTCTACTTCCTCTTCTGCATAAGCTGCAGGTAATTATGAAGAACACATGAAAGCAGGAGTTCTGCTGTAAGCTTGTGCTGATTAGGTACATTAAATGATTGGAGCTCAGAGCTAGAATATTATTTCATATCTACAAGAAAAAAATTAAAATAATATTATAAAAAACACATACAAATTCCTTGTAAGGGGATCAATAACTTAGTTCTTGGGAAAAAATCCTGCAGCTGGGAAGTCAAGCAATGCCTTCCCCTCTTCCCCCAAGATTAGGAAGAGGTCATTCACAGAGAACAGCCAGAAAAGGCATGAGGTGCCCAGCTTCAAGCAGATTCCTTTCCATTCCGTACTCTGCATGAGCAACACGTGCAAGTGTGCATGTGAGCACCCATTAGGTGAATATTCTGGTCCACTCCAAGACAGAAGTCCTGGTAATCAACCTGTAAGAAAATGCCTAAAATCAACTTGTTTAAACAGA